TCCCTTGTGTCTATGTGAGTGCACAGAGAGCTCACGGGGACATCCCGAGGTGTCTCCTGGAGCAGAAGGAAAGTTTCTGCTGCTCTGAGGACCTCATCCAGCTCTTGAATATGAGCAAAGCACAGAAAGAGGAAAATTGTGCCTACCTTTCACACCAGAGCCAAGTGCAACACTGAGAACCTCCCAAAGCTCTACATGAGTGTGTGTCTCTCCTCGAAGATGAGCCAAAAGAGAGGAGGGCTGTGGGAACATGCAGAGCCCTGAAGGAAAGAGGTCAAAGAGACACCATCCCCAAGAGATCACGATGAAGGCACAAAAGAGACACACTCTGAGGCAGTAGAATTAGCTTGGACATCACATAGGACACTTTGTAAGAGCACCCAACCAAACTTCAGCAACCAAACTTGTCCTCTTCCAAGCAATGTCTGGGACCAGTTAGCTGCTGGGAATCCAGTCCAGGTGGGAATGAACAGAGAGCATCATCTTCAAGCATCACAAGGATAATGGAGGGGAGGATCTAAGGAGCTGGAGTAAACGAAGGGCAGTTCAGGATCAGTGCTCAGCCAACATAACCTCTGAGTATCTCCAGCCAAAGTAACACCCAGCACTAAATAGAGCAGCTGACCTGGTCCTGCTCATTTAAATGACTAATAAAGGCAAGGGCGCCTTTCCCAATACATTTTAATTATGTGATAAGAAAACTGCTGAAACCAAAAGAAATTTGCAACGGTCCTTGCATTTTTATATTAGGAGAAATCAGCAGGGCTGGCAGGTGATGTCTCCATATCCAAGAGTTCATTTCCATTAACTCCAGCAAAAGAATAGGCTCTTTGCCTCAGCTCTGGCTAACCTGTATCTAACAGGGTTCACAAAAAAAACCCCAAACTGTGACAATCCTCCACATGGAGCATTCTTCAAGATCTGAGCAGAAGATGGCACTCTGAGAAGTGATGGGGTGCTGCAGTCCTGCAGAAGGAGAGAAGCATTGAGCATTTTGGGCTGGAGAACTGAACGTGGTCAGAAACTGGAGCCCTTCTGCTCACAGGCATGCTGCTGAAGGCTGGTGGAGCTTAGGTGCTCCACGGAGCAGGGTGTTGGTTCTACCTCTGCCTCTTCCACCCATTGTGCCTCTACTGCAGCCAAAGCTACAGGTTTCCTGCTCTCCACCACCTCTGGATTTGAGTAGCAAGAAGTGTTGCTCAAGCAGTAGTGGAGAAGAATAGACAGAGCTGTGCTGAACAAAGCACTGCCCCAGGAGCCCTCTCCATGGCTAGGTCTTGGCAGTTAGACATATCTCAGGGATCAATAAAGGCTGTGTCTGTGCTGCTAAAGGAAAGAGGACCAGGGGTGAAGTTCCCTGACATGTTCATTTACTCCTGTCCCATGGTGATGACTAACCATGCAAAGAGAGTCTGGTCTTGGAAAAAGCCACTTTGGAGCTAGAACAGAGCCTGGGAGTCAGCCAAGAGTTAAGCAGTGTGAATAACCAGGGTGCTAAAACACCAGCCCTTGCTCTGTTCAGCTCTGCCAGTGGATCCACAGCTCTCTGGTCATTGATTTATTTATCTGTATAGACCTTCCCACTGTGCTGCTGTGTCCCAGCCTTGGACCTCTCACCTCTGTAGGCAACTGCTCGAAGTTCTGATCTCTATGTGGTGGCACTCTTTAAAGAAGAGAAGGTTTCCTGTGCAGAAGTTATTTTGTGATAGCAATATCATTTTATCAAGGGTGAAGAAACCAACCTAGATAACCTAGGACTTGACTCTAAACTTTTCCACGTGGCTATGATTTTTGCATTCTTTTCCTTAACCATCTCCCTGGAACTCTCATGGTTCATCTGTCTTCTCTTTCCCTCATTTGTGTGGTTTTATGGTTGGAGACATCTGGCAGAGCATGATGGCAATGACTGGCATGGTGCTACACAGAGATTTCCAGGGCTCTTCCCTGTATCTCAGAGGCTTTGCACAGCAGCAGAGTTCAATGTCCCTCTTCTCCTTGCAGAGTGGCGACAAGCAAGTGGGGCAAGGATGATCCTTCAGGATGAAGACATCACCACCAAGATAGAGAATGACTGGAAGAGACTCAACACGTTGGCACACTATCAGGTAACTGTGGGAGAGGATGGGTGGAGGGTAGATAAGCAAGGGAGAAGGAAAAGGGAAGTGTTAATCTCCACGATGCAGACACAAACAACAGTTGTGTGGGCAATAGCTGAACAGAGCCCATGTGTTGAGTTCATCCATCCTGTTGACACGCATCTCTGAATGACCTTGAGGTCCATAAGAAAAAGCTAAAGATGTCCAAAAATATCTTCCACAACTGATGGATTTCATGAAAAATGGAGTTTGGGTCAAAAGCTCCCCGTGCTCCTTTCTCTCCTTGCTGCACAACAACAACAACAAAGCACCTCATTAAGTTTAATCCGATGCTGACAATTTTGTCATTTCCTCAATCACACCTTAGCAATCTATGTTTCATAAGAAGATTTTTTGATTCATTTCAGAGCTGACCTGAGGAGGCAGCAAGCAATCATTTGAAAAGGAAACAAAACTTTTTACTTTAGATTGACTGAAGTGTTGCTGGCTGACTCCAGGACAATTTTTTTTCAGGGGAAGCAGGGATGTTTTAGTTTTATTTCACCAACAAACCAGACATGATTTTCTTTCCTTTCTGGGCTTTTTTTCTGGTGGTTTGCTTCAGGCAAAGAGCTTCCAGCTATGTCAAGGAGCTGAAGCTGGGGCAGAACTGATTTCAGCTGCCAGGGCGTTGAGATCTAAATAATTTACCTTGGCTTTCCTGAGGGCAGACATGGAGCATGCTGGGACAGACCCTGATATTCCTTTTGCCTCAGTTTCCCCATCTGTAGTGTAAGGTTAATACTACAAAGAGCCAATAATTACCTTTCATGATTGCTGAAGGGCTATTTAATTAGCCTCCGCAGTGCTTTGAAGATGAAAAACTCTGTGCAAGTGCTAATTATTATTATTACACAGACAAGAGTTAGACGTTGTTAGCAGGGACTTTTTTTTTACCCATCTCCTTTTTATGATGTCTTATTTATCACAGATATTCCTGATATGGCTTCTCTGAGCCACTGGCTTGTGAACATTTCTGATAGGAGACTCACAAGAGTTGTCTAGCTGGAGAAATGGGAAGCCTGGCTCATGTCAGAAAGCTCTGTTCTTTGTTCTGCCACTGTCCCATGACATCTTGGAGCACAACCACTCCAAACCTGCTGCTGGGATGTCCCATCCTTGATGTCTGAGATATCTCAGATGATTTTATTCTTCTCATGCTCCTGTTCTGCATAAGAGCTTCCCTGAGAAGAACCTACTGTCAGCTTTACTGGGGTTAATGCAAAGCCACATGGTCATCACTGGGCTCTAAATCAGGACCTGAATGGAGCAGAATCTGCTTTGCCATTTGTCCTGTTGCCCAAGTGCAGGCTTCTAGTGGTGCAACAGGAGATTTTGTTAATAGACCCACTGAAGCTTTGGGCCAAAACTACTGTCCTGCCTACAGCAACACTGCTTTACAGCTCAGCTTCTGCTGCTTGGATTTCTGCTGTCCTTGGCATGCTCATCAACCAGTTTTCAGCAGCTTAATGACAAGATCCCTTTTTTTTCTACAGGTGCCAGATGGATCTGTGGTAGCTTTAGTCTCCAAGCAAGTCACTGCCTACAATGCAGTCAACAACTCCACGGTCTCACGGACGTCAGCCAGCAAGTATGGTAAGGATTTATCTGCTAATATGGGTTGAGAGAGGACTGAAGAAGAGATCCCAGACATCACAGGGCTTAGAAGACACTGAGCACCAGTAGAAGAAAGGACAGTCAGACAACTTGTTGATAAGATTACTTGAGGGATGACAGGAGGAGAGGATTTAGCCATCTAAACTTTGGCATCTGGTCCAAGATGTTGGATTGCTCGTGGGAAGCACTTCTCCCTCATTAATGAAAGGGGAGCCTGTATAATTAGCTGCCTACTTTTTAGATCCCTGGATCTCACTCTTAGAGTTTGCACAGGGAAAGGCAAAGGAGAAGATCTGCACACTGTATGGGGCAGTCATTCTGGTGGGCAAAGTCCTGGGAGCACGTGGAGACAAATCTGTGGCACAGATGAGCAACCACAATCTACACAGGGCATAGCCTGTCTGCAGTTCTACCTCAGGGTGGGTGTCATGTGTCCCACCCAGATATCTTACAGTCCCAAGGGAATTTGCACCTGGAATAATAAAAATGCCTTACTGAGGTCTTAAATCTCAAGGCAACAGATCTTTGTTCCCACGTTACCCATGGAACAACTGAGGCAGCTGTGAAATAGGAACCAGGTGGAATTTCCTCTGTAGCACCAGAGACCTCCTGGCTGTGACTCACACCATCACACACCTTTCTCCCTCGTGCTAGAACTGCAGCCTGGGACACGTCTCACTGTGGTGGTGCCTGACGGCAAAGCAAAACACCTCCAACATGCAACCAGAGTGCTGCAAAACTGCCCACCAACCTGGATGCAGCTGTCCTATCAGTTTATGATCCTTTTTTTTCTAAAATTTATGAAAGCATCTCCAATCCTTTACTCCCTTTAGCTTGAAAGTAGCTTGATGTCCAGAGGAGCCCCCTTCCTCTTTCTCCAAGGACATAAGCAATCCATCAGACCTTATTAATATTCATCCTCTTTGCCATGTTGTTGCAATTACTGAAAGACACAGTGACCTTTGAAAAGGAAGACTTGAGGGGGGTTAATTTCTGTTGGATTTCCTTAATTCTTTTGCCATTTGGTTTTTCAGGAGGAAGAAGTGGGGAAGAATGCAGGGGGGAGGAGAAGATGTGGTGGGTCAGAAGTGATTGTTAATTGCAATTAAGAAAATAGCATCGAGAGAGAAAGAGGATATTCCATCTGATAATTAATATGTAGAGAATGGTGATGCATTAATGAGGCTGATTCAGGTCTTGCTGCAGAAAGGTGCAACACTCTTCTGGTAATTATGGCTGGAAAAGACTCTCTCTATCTGCAGCATTGCTGGAAGGTCAGGGAGAGGGGAAAGCTTCATGTCATCACTCAGAGGCAAAAGGAGGTAAAATTTGAAGGCTAAAGGTGTCCTTGGAGAAAAGATTGCCTGGGTCCACCTGGGCTTCTGGGTTACTTTCTGTCAAAGCAAGATTTGGGAGCAGGGAGTGAAGAGGATGGCTGGGCAGGAGTTAGTGGCATGCTTTGATGCCAAAGGAGGACGGGAGGGAAGGCAGCTCCTCCTAAGTCTGGGGATG